ACCAACTAGAACACGCAGGACAGTGGAGACCAACCAGAACATGCTGGACAGTGGAGACCAACCAGAACATGCTGGACAGTGGAGACCAACCAGAACATGCTGGACAGTGGAGACCAACCAGAACATGCAAGACAGTGGAGACCAACCAGAACACGCAAGACAGTGGAGACCAACTAGAACACGCAAGACAGTGGAGACCAACTAGAACACGCAAGACAGTGGAGACCAACTAGAACACGCAAGACAGTGGAGACCAACTAGAACAACCAGGACAGTGGAGACCAACTAGAACTTTCGTTTAGATCTTTCTCTGCTTTAACACACCAGATTGAGATGACTGCAGTAAAAGAGAAGCCTGATCACCAGCTGCTGGAGCAGAAACCCATCCAGCTGTAGACTGGATGAGCAAAACCTTCAGATTCAGAACCCTGAATCCTCTGAAGCGTCAGTAACTCCACTACAGACAGACTACTGTTCCTAGAATGGCGAGCTAACAGAGGCTCCGCTCTGTGAACGTTGGTCCTTACCTTCTTCTCAGAGGTCCAGAGGTTTGATCAGGCGGTCTGTTGGAGAGACATTTATACACGTTCCCTGGTACTGCACTCTCCCAGGGCCCCTGGCTCAGGCTGTCAGATGTTTCCTGACGCTGAGCCAACAAAGGCGACCAATGAGGGCCTTCTTGTTGACCGGCACAGACCGCCTGCTGATTCATTGATCTCAGTCCAAGAATGTGCTCGGACTCTGGGGGGGGCAAGGAAAACACAGGATGTGAGAGTTCTAATCAGTGTGTTTCTCCAAAGTCATGAGTTGTGCAGCAGACGGTCGTTAGCATTCCAGCAATCCCAACCCTTCATCCTGTCACTGTTCTCTGAAGTTTGGCTTCAGTTTTCTGACCCAGACATGAAAGGAGATCAAGGTTCTGCTCAAGCGTGTAACTTAGTGATGAAAATAGGTGGGGGCGCTCTAATGGTGGGGGCGCTCTAAGGGAAGGGGCGCTCTAAAGAAGGGGGCACTCTAAGCATGGAGGCACTCTAAGGAAGGGGGCATTCTAAGTCTCTCTACAGGTGGGGGTGCTCCTAGGGTGGGCGCACTCTAAGGGTGGGAGTGCTCTAAGGGAGGGGGCGTTCTAAGGGTGGGGG